ATTAAATTCGCTTATCAGTAATCAGTAGGGCGATTCCATGAAAAAGAGGAAAAGCATTGGAAAATTCAAATAAGAATAATGTTATCATTTTGGATGTTTTCTGAATTAGAAAGGTTTGAAGTTTGATAATTTATAATTATTTTTTTTTGAGAATTTAGTTTTTTAGTGTTGGTAACCCATTGAACATTGGCATTTACTGGTTCTGATTTGGGTGAAGAACATGGTCAGTTTTTTAAAATCAGTAAGTTAACATTATTTTAATTTCAAAATGTTCCAAAGAATAAATATTGTTTATTACACTTAATAGAAATATTGTGCAGTGTTAAAATAAGTTTTCGTTGTTAAATTCACTTAATTATATAAATTTCAACAAAACATTAATGCATGTAACGTAAGTTACCAAAAACTAGAAAACGTTTTTGTGTGTAAAAAAGAACAAGTGATACAAAAGTAAGAAAAATATTTTTTCTTCCTTAGAGGCTAACACTAAATAAGCAACAATAGTTCAAATCTTTCAAATATTACTTATTTATTGTTCTTTTCAAATATTACTTATTTATTGTTCTTTTCAAATATTACTTATTTATTGTTTTGTGCCCCATTCAATACGTGTAACGTAAGTTACTGACATGCATGCAATGTAAGTTACCAATGTGAAATGAGTTTATTCCTCTTGAAAATTGGCATACAAACTAAATAAGATGTATCCAGTTACAATACCAAAGTTTAAATAAATTATCACTGCCTTAAGATATTAATTTTAATGAAACTCTTTGCTTTAAGTTATTAATTTGGGTGTTGGCATTCATATGTTTTCAAAGTTGAACGAAATCTTTCGACAGGCACCGGGAGTTAAGGATGTAGTTATAATTAGAGATGCTAATGGTAGCAAAAAGAAAGTACAAGCACGGCATCTTCATCATTCAGTTCGAGAAATGCACCAAATGTTTATGGAAGAAAATCCAGAATGCAAAATTGGAAAAACTAAATTCTTTGAGCTCCGTCCAAAGCATGTCTTGCTTAGTAGCAAACTTCCAGGCAATGTTTGTGTTTGTAAGCATCATGAAAAGTTCGGATTGACTAAGGAAGCCTTCAGCAAAATTTATAATGTTCCATCTTACGAAATTCTTTAGAAATTTATTTTATGTTTAGAAAAAACAGCTGAGTGCGAGTCTCTAGAACAGATGAGTGGAGTGTCTAGTCTATTCTCAAAATCTCCACAGATTAAAAACATTAAGCAGATCCACCATTTAAGAGTACAAGAAGGCATACCAGAAGAGTTTTCTTTAGTGAAAGATGTTGAAAAAGAAAATGATGAATCCAAGATAAATGCTGGGGGTTGATATATGATTAGATAGGAGAACATGTTATATCCTGGTGTGGTAATGTGGCAGAGCAAGAATTTAAAGTCAATGTAATGGCTGCTGTGCGAATCTATTGTAAATGGCCAGAAAAAAGAGATGAAATATTCTACCAGAAAGAAAGCATGGTAAAAAGAATTGAGCCCCCTGTACTAGTTAATAACAGAGGACTTAATAAGTTTGCAGTTATGTGTGAATCAAAAGTATCTGAATTTACTTCATGTACACTTTTTCTCCCTTGCACTATAGTGTTTAAATAACTTAATTTGCATTTGTACATTATTTGATAAAAGTTTGATACAAAGGGAATTTCGTAACGTAAGTGACTGTAACGTAAGTAACCCACTTAAAAAATTATATTTTATTTAACTTTTGAAATAAAATCATAAATCTAGGTATAAGAAATGTTTAAACATGTCAGAAAAATGATACATATAATCTTAATCATGAAACTTTTGTATAAGAACAGAATTTTGACTTCAAGTATATTGCAAATTTATGCTATTCCTTTTTCGGTAAAAGTTACCTCACTAATTTTAGGCTTTTACACTGTTTAAATTGAAAAATAATTATTATTTTAATGAAATTCCTTTTGGTTTTGATCGTAATTTTAAGAAATCACTTTATTCTAATATTTATATTCATATTATTTGTTTGCTTCTAAGTTCTCAATGCAATAAAGTTTATGTGAATGTAACGTAAATTACCGTGGAATAGCCCAGTAGCTTTTCCCATCACTCGTAAAAGTTAATGCAAAAAAGATTCCTTAGCTTTCTCCAACAGCGGTTAAATACCATTCCAACTCAAACACATGCCTACAATTTTTTTTTACGCCGTTTAGCTCCTGCCTGCCGTTTGCCCATGGGGAACTACCTTGATTTCAATTTTGCTATATTTCATGAGATGCCCGCTATATTGCAAGAGTTCGTTATGTATTGAATTTTAGAACGAATTTAAAATCAGTCCCGCAGCCATTCAATCACATGAACCACCGTAAATTTGAGTTCGGGACATTTCAGTGTAGTAGACAGTAGAAATATCAGAAATATTTCCACCTCTGTCGCGAAATGAGATAGAAAACTTATTCCAGTGTTCCATCACGTGGTGTACTACTTCCTCACGCACCTCTTGATCTATAACTCGAGTATCGTGTAATATGCGTATGTATGCTATTTCTTGAAAAAGGCAAGCTCCGCCATCAGTAACTGGTATGACAATAACTACCATTTATGTTTAAAATTTCTACAACCATTTCAGAAAGGTTCAAAAATAAATTTAAATAATTATCTCGTGACTAAGTTTATCACAGTTAGACATTGTAAAAATTTTCTATCAAGTATCGAACTAACTATTACTTAAGAATACCTAACAAAATGAATAATTACTATAGCGTTGCCAATAGATAGAGAAATACCCGAGTTTATGGTGCCATCAAGTTATGGTTTTCATAAGAAATGTATATATATGTATATATATATATATTTGATGTTGTTGTTGTTGTTGATTTACGTTGCACTAGATCTGCACAATGGGCTATTGGCGACGGTCTGGGAAACATCCCATATATATATATATTTGAAGAAACTCAATGGAAGAACCTGAGATTTTTCGGGGAAAGCTCTTATTTTAGATTTATTTAAATATGTAACATTCATTTATATTGCTAAATCTATTTATTTTGAAGATACTCGGTGGAAGAACCGGCTAAGTGATGTTATTTGAGTATTCGTTGGACGGAAGAACCGGCTAAGTGACATGGCGACAAATGGTCAATTTTTAATTTAAAGTAAATTTGTACTAAAGTAACAGTAAATTCGGATCTAAATTTCATATTTCGTGTAGATCTGTACTTTATTTACGTCGTAGGTAGGTACTTTATTTACGTCGCACTAGAGCTGCACAAACGGCTATTGGTGACGGTCTGGGAAACATTCCTGAGGATGATCCGAAGATATACCGTCGCAGTTTTGATCCTCTGCGGAGAGGGTGGCACCCCGACGACCTGAGCGCGAAGTTGAACACCTTACGAGAGGACAGTTTAACGAGGACCGATATCGCTACCTCGGTCCCTACGCAGGCTGATGAAAATGGTCATCCACCCGCTTACTGCCCGCAGTTAGTGATGCTTGACTTCGGTGTTCTACTGGGGGAAAACCGTGTATTTGCGATCAGTCCACTGCTGGAAATTTTTTATTTTATAGATTTCAGGAGCTTACGTTAGTCTCTGTACGCTCCCGTAATTAAAATTTAAAGCAACTGTGCACGCGCACACGAGCACTCGTGTTTTTATTTATTTATTTATTTTATTTTTTTAAATATTATACGCATTTCTACACTCTACTGGCGTGTTTTTACAGTTGAATGCTCTTGCACAAAATGGAAATGGAAGATTCATTATTACAAAATGCTGCAATTAATCGTGTAATTTTTCAACATTTAACTTTTGGCCAATCATAGAAATTTTATAAAATGTGGTATTATTTTTATTGAAATATGATGAAATTGCATTCAATAACACAAAAAAAAGAGTCTCGAGCATGAAAAATAACATTTTATTTAAGAAATAAAATGGTGCGTCTATGGACCATTGGCCAAATCAATAACAAATCATTTAGTTAAAACACCAGCTTATTTATAAAAAATTGGCTTTTAATGTCTATTTTTAACTAAACTTTTATACAAAACTTTTAACTTTAATCGATAATTGAAACATATGATTAACCGCAAATAGAATATTTTTACATTTTTATAAAATCGAGTTTGTTAATAACCGTTTTAAGTTTATAATACTAACGAAGTTTAAAAATTTCGCAATATAAAGTGTTTACTCCAATTGGATTAGAAATATTTTAAAGATGTCTCCAGAACCCTTGACTGAAGCAGAAAAATAAAATTAATGAAAAATATACACGATGTTGACAAAAAATATTTATTGGCCAGAAATAAGTTAGTAAAAAAATAAATTTTAATGATTTTAGTTTAAATTATAGTTGCCTAATTGTACAATAATATCTTAGTGAATGCAGTATTAAAATGATGCCACATCCCCATTGCAGTTCAGATATTGTTGGCTTTTAACGTCATTGAAGGAAAAGCTCCATGGCAAAAATTTTTTTAAAATTCTGTCGTTATCTCTGCAGTGAAAGGTTCTTTGAAAAAGCTTCCAGAAAAAGGCTTCCCTACTTGTTTAGGAATGTGGGTTGTATGTGCAACCACTAAATATCAACTGAGTGAAGAGCCATTCTTACTGTATGCGGTTTATGCACTCGAAGGAGAATGAGAATTAAGAGATCAAAAAAATGTTCCAGCGAAACCATGTTTAAGTGTTCTAAGGATCGTTCTCACTCCGTACGATAAGCTCACAGATGCGAATGAGAATCTGATTATTGAATATGTTTACTTATGAAAAACTTGTCATTCAGAAATGCCATTCATACTGCATGTATTTCACACACCTTCGATCACTGATTAATAAATTTTACCAATTACATATTTTATAATTTATTCTCCCTCCATGACAGTTGGTAGTGCGTGAACCGCATTCAGTGAGAATTGCCATCTACGCACATTATACAATTCGCTAAAACTTGAAAGCAAGTTTTGCGTTAGTAAAAATGAGCTCTGAAAGATCACGTGACTGCAATAAAAAATTGGACATCAAAAGCAAAAACACTAACACTTCAACTTTCTTTTTAATGTCAAGTTTTGATGGCAAATGGCTGAGTAGAACATATTTGATTGCAAACAATGTCAAGCCTGAACGCAAATTCATAATTTTAAATTCTCTTATTTACAGTAAGCAATGTATTTTATTTATAAGCATATTGTCAATATTCTTTGCCAATGTGCAGTTTAATACAATCTATACTGCAATGATTACCAAGTTTTTCCTCTTCTTTAACCTAATAAAAGTTCAAATGCTCTGATGATTGTTTCCTCTAAATTATATTTATCCTGCGAAGACTGATCACTCCTGGTATTTTCGGAAAATCGGAGTGTTTTCTTTTAATATAATGTTTTATCATTAACTATCTCGGTTTTTTTAAAATAATTCATTTACTTGCCGTTAGATTGTACCGTATGCCTTTTTGACTATACTTTGTTTATTGTTTGCAGACCGTAATGGAAGATATGAAAAATTCGTCTGATTTAGAAGAGGATGCAGAATTAGAAGCTTTACGATTAGCAGCTTTAGCGACACTCAAAAATCGTAGTAATAAAGTCATTGAGGTAAAAATGTTTTTTGTATTTCATATTACACTTTTGAGTTACTTTAGCACACCCTTTATTCTTCAAGAGTTCTCAGTTGTATGTTTTTTTCTTTCAATTATTTGCATTCCTTATATGTTATTATAAAATATTGAGTAAATATGCTCCCTTTTCTTTGGTAATGCACTGGTGAATTAAACCTTGTCATTGAAGTATTATCATATAAAATTAAGTAGTTTTTGTTGTTATTTAAGTAGTAAGTAGTTTTCTATTAGATGTTGATTTTTAATAACTGGACAAAAATTAGGGGTCTGTCCAGGCCAAATTTACTACCCTTCAGTGTTACCTTACAGGGGTCTGCCCAAGCCAAATTTACTACCCTTTAGCAGTACCTTCACAAATTTAACTTTAGGAAAAACGGTAGTATAATATTAAAAACCTTTTTCTTAAAATTTTATTTTTGTGTCTTGTAAGAAACGATAAATCCATATTTTTGTGTTGATTTTTTAATATAATTTTTAATTTTCACAAATTATGTCTAAATATTCACAAAATATGTCCTCTCAAAAAAAGCTAGACAGACCCTTGCCTTCACAGATTCAACTTTAGGAAAAACAGTAGTTTCACAAAATAATTTTTCTTGAAATTTTTTTATTTTTGTATGCCATAAGAAACGATAAATTCATATTATTACCATATGTTTGTGTTGATTTTTTAATTTTCACGAATTATGTCTACGTTTTCACAAAATAGGTACCTCTCAGAAAAACCTAGACAGACTCCTGAAAATAGTTTAAATAATTTTCGTCAGACTATTAATTATTATTATTATTTAATTAACATAAATTTTTTTTTTTTTAGGAATTTAAAGAAATATTTGGTATTAAAATAAATTCTTATATTTCTGATATAAGTTTACATTATTATATCATTGATCCCCACAACTTGATGATGTATTGTTATTTAATTAAAAGATTTATTATCTTGTGATATCAAACCCCTAAGCTGCTTTTTCCCCCTTGTCAATTTTAGGTTTGCCTTTAGTAACTAAACAATTTAAAAACATGATTTAAAAAGAAAGTTGTGGTTTGTATTCATATATTTTGGAAGTAAAATATATTGTATTTCAAAAATCAAACAACAGTGTTCGTACGCGGTTTTAAAATGAAGAACCACATTTCATTTTGATATGATTTTTAAAATCGTACATTGTGTTTCATATTCCGCGTTTTAAAGATTAACTATCGCAATGTTCTCGTGATTTCAAAGTGTTAATCAGCAAACTAAGTAGGTTTTTGGTCAGAACCAACTTATAATTCAAAACCCATTTGTTCAATAATCATATAAAATTAATGAAATATTTTTTAAAAAATTCTCTTTCATTTTTATTTACTCTTTTTTCTTTTTATTGTTAATTAAGATTAGTCTTAATCTCTAAAGAATTGAGATCTTTATTAGCAATAATGTATATTTTACTATATATTATTCGAAATAGCTTTTGCTTATAATTGTTAAGTTTTGAAACTTGTTAACTTATGTACTGGATGACTAAGTGAAATTTGGAGGATTGAAACTAGATTAATGTACTGAACCATGAGTTTTGTATTGTTCCTTTCCATAATTATATTAATCACATAGTTTTTTCAACAATTTTAAAAATCATGAACTTTTTTTTGAAATTCATTTTTGCTTATTTATGACCCAATTATGAATTCTGAGTGTGAATGAGAATTCTCTTGAAAATAATTTTTATTTTATGCACATCTTTATTTTCTTATATCTTGCCTGTTTAAGTCTCATGACTTTTTAAAAAAAAATTTAGCCTGATGTTTCTACTGTTAGTCAAATTCAGCCAATCAACAGTATAACAAGATCTGGTGACAATTCATCTGATCAAGGATCTCGTAAAAGTCAGCCTTCCTGGCGCAATAATGCTCCACTTTTAAGAAAGCGTGGAAAACATTTTCCTGTAAGTATTTAGTTGCAATTTTTATAGTTTTATTTAGGCCAAATATAATTTGTATATACAGTCTATGCTCTTTTGTACGAACCCATATACTGCTACCCTACTATTATAGCGACCTATGCATGAAGTTTCGTTTGCTGTTTCATGGAAAGGCACTGTGTAATTTTAATGCCCATTTTCTTTAATTCCTGCAATATCAATCACTCCAAAAATAGGTGTTATACATTTTTGCACTTTGAAAATTGACATTTTTCCATTAACAGTGAGTCAATGGGTAACAAAAGTCTGAAAGAAATTATTCATACCAGGGTTGGGGTTTTGGACGTCCTAAACTGGTTTTGGACAGGACACGTGGGTTTTACTGTCTTAAACTGGGTAAAACTGTCTTAAAGTGTCCAAAACCTTGAACTTTGGTAAAAGGTAAAAATTCTATAGGTGTAACCATTGTACACATAATTACATGTATCAATAAATATTTTATATTTTATACAATTTACTATAACTTATTAAAAGAAATTAATATAATATAATAGGAAAAGGTTTATAATTTTTGAAGCTCCACAATTCATTGAAGAACAAAAGTGAATACCTAATCCTTTAAATATAAATATGCTTTTAATACTGATAAATAATATTTTTGCATAAGGATAAATATGGCAATATTAAAAAATAATAATTTTTCTTAAAAAAAATACTAAATTTGTTCAAAAATTAACCTTTTATTTTTCACAATATTTTTTTT